CAATTCTGCACAAGGACCAGATGGTATAGGGGGGAAATTTTTTCAGGTATGTTTTGATATAATAAAGGATGATCTTTTGGCTGTTGTTCAACATTTTTTCAATGGTTTTGACATGCCTAAGTATATGACTCATGCTTGTTTGGTATTGATCCCTAAAGTTGAATATCCTAATAAGCTAAAAGACTTTAGACCTATTAGTCTAAGCAATTTTACTAACAAGATCATTTCTAAGATTATGAGTACTAGACTGGCCCCTATTTTACCTAGTATTATTTCTAAAAACCAGTCAGGCTTTGTAAAAGGAAGGAGTATTTCTGAAAATATAATGCTGGCACAAGAAATTATCCATAGAATTAACTTGCCTCATGAAGGAGATAATGTGGTTATTAAACTTGATATGGTTAAAGCTTATGATAGAGTTTCTTGGGCTTACACTTGTTTAGTTTTGAGAAAATTAGGCTTTGGTGAACTGTTTATAGACAGAACTTGGAGAATTATGAGTAATAATTGGTATTCCATTGTTATCAATGGAAAAAGACATGGTTTTTTCCATTCTTCTAGAGGTCTTAAACAAGGAGATCCCTTATCCCCAGCCCTATTTATTTTGGGAGCTGAGGTATTATCTAGACAGCTGAACAATCTTTATCAGAATCAGGCTTATAGAGGTTTCTATATGGAGAAGAGAGGACCACAGATTAACCATTTAAGTTTTGCTGATGATATAATAATCTTCACCTCCACAAACAGAAATTCTCTCCAACTAATTATGGAAACTATTGCTGAATATGAGAAAGTATCTAATCAGCAAGTGAATAAGGACAAGAGCTTCTATATGGTTACTAATAATACTAATCAGAATGTTATTGAAGTCATCAATGAGGAAACTGGTTTTAGAAGAAAGCATAGCCCTATTATGTATTTAGGTTGTCCTTTGTATATTGGAGGACAAAGAATAATTTACTATTCTGAATTGGTGGATAAAATCATTAAAAAAATTAAAGGTTGGCATACTAAAATTTTGAATTTTGGTGGTAAAATTACTTTGGTCAAGCATGTTTTGCAGTCTATGCCTATTCATACATTGGCTGCTGTTTCACCACCTAAAACTACCCTTAGATATATTAGAAGAGTCATAGCTGACTTCTTCTGGGGCACTAATAGGGATAAAAAAACAGTATCATTGGGCATCATGGGAGAGTTTAGCTTTTCCTTATAGAGAGGGTGGTATTGGAGTTAGATTATTAGAAGATATATGCACTGCTTTTCAATACAAACACTGGTGGGAATTCAGAACTAAAAAGTCTTTGTGGAGTAGTTTTTTGAAGGCAAAATACTGTCAAAGGTCTAATGTAGTGGCAAAGAAATATGATACAGGGGATTCATTGGTCTGGAGGTATCTTACCAGAAACAGATATGATGTGGAAAGGTATATATCATGGAATATAAAATCTGGTAACTGCAGTGTTTGGTGGGATAATTGGCTGGGAGATGGTGCAATAGCAAGCTATTGTGATTATGTTTCCAGTCTAAATAATACTCAGCTATTAGACTTCATTGAGGATGGAAAATGGAATGAGTCTGTTATAAGGCAACATATTCCTCCACCTCTTGTTCCAATGATTCTAACTTATAGATTACAACTTAAAGAGGGTATTACTGATGTAGCTTATTGGAGACTAGAAGATAATGGTCAATTTTCAATCTCATCTGCATGGGAAAGTATAAGGAAGAAAAAAGAACCTGATATAATTAATAATAGTATTTGGCATAGAAATGTTCCTTTTAAAATTTCCTTCTTTATGTGGAGAGCTTTGAGGAATAAACTACGTACCAATGATAGTCTGATTAGATTTGGAAAAGAAGAGGAAGACTGTTATTGTTGTTATAGGAAGGGCAAAGATGATTTAAATCATATTCTTATTACTGGTAATTTTGCTAAATATATTTGGAAGTGTCATTCACAAAGAGTGGGATTAGTAATTGACAGTACTACTATCAGAAGTCTGTTACTTCAATGGAAAAATCTACAAACTAGTAATGAGGTACAAAAACTTCTTTTTATCATTTTACCCAACATTATTTGTTGGAACTTGTGGAAAAACAGGTGTTCAATTAAGTATGGAGGTAAATAATCTAACATGTCAAGAGTGGAATTAGCTATCTTTAAAGATAGTATGCAGATCATTCAATCTGTATATCCAACTATACCATGGCTCAACAGTTGGGAGAGGCTTCTTAAATATGTTGATCAATGTCAACAATATTTTAAAGTAACTTTAGTGAGATGGAACAGGCCACCCTCAGGTATCTATAAACTTAATACTGATGGCAGTGCCATCCATAATACAGGTCAAACAGGTGGTGGAGGTATACTTAGAGATGATCAAGGTAAACTTATTTATGCTTTTTCTATTCCTTTGGCTTTTGGTACTAATAATTTTGCAGAAATACAAGCTGCTCTTCATGGATTAAATTGGTGTCAACAACATGGATTCAAGAGGATCATATTGGAAGTAGATTCTGAATTACTGGTCAAATGGATCAACAACACACAGTACATTCCATGGAGAAGTCAACAAGACATTCAGCAGCTTCAAGACATAAGCAAGAACATGGAATATTTTCAGTGCCAACATATTTATAGAGAGGCAAATGCCACGGCTGACTTACTAGCAAAAGGGAGTCACAAGATGGATATAATTCAACATTTTTACACCTCTCAGCAGCTTAGAGGTGCTATTAAAGGAAATTACATATTAGACAAAATGGGCATGCAACTATTTAGAAGAAGGAAGATCAAGAGGATTAAACATCCTCCATGACAATCTTGTATTTGTTCAATCAATTTCATTGGCTTAAAATCTATTTTAAATGTTAATAAAGTAGGTTATCTCTTTTATCATAACTTGTAAAGGGAGAGTCTCCCTTGTTTAAGTTTATCTAGAACTTAGTAATTTTGAGAGGATTATCTCTAGGTGCTTTGTTTTAGAATACAACAAATGTAATGAGTTAATGGATAACCTTAGTAGGTAATTCAATTAACTCAACTTAGGAAGGAGGTAAGGTTCTATGTCCCCCTCCATGTATCTTTTTCTTATATAAATGTTAAGGCCTGGGGGTGATGCTTAGCCCCTACCCACCTCAAGGGTCGTTTAATAAAAAAAAACCCTAAACCCTAAACCCTAAACCCTAAACCCTAAACCCCAAACCCCAAACCCCAAACCCAAAACCCTAACCCCCAACCCCCAAACCCCAAACCCTAAACCCTAAACCCTAAACCCCAAACCCCAAACCCTAAACACCAAACCCTAAACCCCAAACCCCAAACCCTAAACCCTAAACCCTAAACCCTAAACCCTAAACCCTAAAACCCTAAAACCCTAAAACCCTAAAACCCTAAACCCTAAACCCTAAACCCTAACCCAAACCCCAAACCCCAAACCCCAAACCCCAAACCCGAAACCCTAAACCCGAAACCCGAAACCCTAACCCCAAACCCCAAACCCCAAACCCCAAACCCCAAACCCTAAACCCTAAACCCTAACCCCTAAACCCCAAACCCTAAACCCTAAACCCTAACCCCAAACCCCAAACCCTAAACCCTAAACCCTAAATCCGAAACCCTAAACCCTAAACCTTAAACCCTAAACCCTAAACCCTAAACCCTAAACCCTAAACCCTAAACCCTAAACCCTAAACCCTAAACCCTAAACCCTAAACCCCAAACCCCAAACCCCAAACCCCAAACCCTAAACCCTAAACCCTAAACCCTAAAACCCTAACCCCCCAACGCAAACAGGGCTTGTCTTCTAGGGGTAGGAAAGTTTCTAGACAAAACAAGACTGCTAGTTTTAGTAAACCTAATACTAAAGCTAGAAGTAGAGGTGTTTAATGATTAGTCTCATATGTTGGAATGCTAGGAGCATTAATACATTTGGTGCTCTTGAAAGATTAATCAACTTAAAGAAAATTCACAAGCTCACTATGATTGCTATTCTTGAGCCTTTTGCTAATAGTTCTCAGTTGGAAGCTTATAGATTGAAATTGTTGATGGATTTTTGTTATAGTAATTCTAATAATAAAATATGGCTTTTTTGGTCTAATGATATGAATTGTAAAGAAATTGACATGGATGAACAACTTATCAATTGTGAAGTTTATCATGAAGAATGTAGTGATAAGTTTCTACTTACCTGTGTTTATGCAAAGTGTAAGGAACATCTGAGGAAACCTCTTTGGGATAGGTTAATCCAATGGTCTGATGTGAATAAACCTTGGTGCATCATTGGAGACTTTAATGTGATATCCTCCACTGATGAAAAATTGGGTGGAAGAGACTATAATATCAATAAAAGTTTTGATTTCATCAACATAATAGAATCATGTGGTTTAATTGATTTAGGATATAGTGGTCAGCCTTTCACATGGTGTAATCATAGGAAGGGTGATGCTAGAATATGGAAAAGATTGGATAGAGGATTGGTCAATGATAATTGGTTAAGGATTATGCCTAACACTTCTATCACTCATTTGCCTTCTGGGGGTTCTGATCACTGTCCATTATTAATGGAGATGAAGAATGATAAGGAAAATGCTATAAAATATTTTAAATTCCTTAACTGTTGGACTGAGCATGAGACTTTTTATTCAACTGTGGAAAATTGTTGGAATAAAAAGGTGGTAGGTAGTCCTATGTGGATATTACATACTAAAATGAAGAGACTTACTGTTATTTTGAGGAATTGGTCCAAAAAAGAATTTGGGGATTTTTCATCAAAGTCAAACAGTTTGAAGAGATGGTTAAACTTGCTGAGGAGAATATTATTCAGGAAAATAATCAGGAAAATAGAGAGAAACTGCAGGCCTTAAATGCTCAGTACATTAGATACATGAAATTAGAATATGACATTATGCAACAAAAAACATAGATTCATTGGTTAAAGGAAGGTGATACCAACTCCAAATATTTTCATACTATTATGAGAGGTAGAAGAAAAAGAATGTGTATTACTAAGCTTGAGTCTGAGAATGGTGAATGGATACAAGGGGAAGAGAATATTGTTAAAACTGCCTGTGATTACTATAAACAAATTTTCACTGGCAAAAATGAGGCTATTAATGAGGATAGTCTTCAGTGTATTAGTAGAATCATTACTGATGAACAAAATATTAAGCTGGAACAGATGCCTAATATAGATGAATTGAAGAATGTGATAATGAATATGAATCCCAATTCTGCACCAGGACCAGATGGTATAGGGGGGAAATTTTTTCAGGTATGTTTTGATATAATAAAAGATGATCTTTTGGCTGCTGTTCAACACTTTTTCAATGGTTTTGACATGCCTAAGTATATGACTCATGCTTGTTTGGTGTTGATACCTAAAGTTGAACATCCTAATAAGCTAAAAGACTTTAGACCTATTAGTCTAAGCAACTTTACTAACAAGATCATTTCTAAGATTATGAGTACTAGACTGGCACCTATTTTACCTAGTATTATTTCTAAAAACCAGTCAGGCTTTGTAAAAGGAAGGAGTATTTCTGAAAATATAATGCTGGCACAAGAAATTATCCATAGAATTAACTTGCCTCATGAAGGAGATAATGTGGTTATTAAACTTGATATGGTTAAAGCTTATGATAGAGTTTCTTGGGCTTACACTTGTTTAGTTTTGAGAAAATTAGGCTTTGGTGAACTGTTTATAGACAGAACTTGGAGAATTATGAGTAATAATTGGTATTCCATTGTTATCAATGGAAAAAGACATGGTTTTTTCCATTCTTCTAGAGGTCTTAAACAAGGAGATCCCTTATCCCCAGCCCTATTTATTTTGGGAGCTGAGGTATTATCTAGACAGCTGAACAATCTTTATCAGAATCAGGATTATAGGGGTTTCTATATGGAGAAGAGAGGACCACAGATTAACCATTTAAGTTTTGCTGATGATATAATAATCTTCACCTCCACAAACAGAAATTCTCTCCAACTAATTATGGAAACTATTGCTGAATATGAGAAAGTATCTAATCAGCAAGTGAATAAGGACAAGAGCTTCTATATGGTTACTAATAATACTAATCAGAATGTTATTGAAGTCATCAATGAGGAAACTGGTTTTAGAAGAAAGCATAGCCCTATTATGTATTTAGGTTGTCCTTTGTATATTGGAGGACAAAGAATAATTTACTATTCTGAATTGGTGGATAAAATCATTAAAAAAATTAAAGGTTGGCATACTAAAATTTTGAATTTTGGTGGTAAAATTACTTTGGTCAAGCATGTTTTGCAGTCCATACCTATTCATACATTGGCTGCTGTTTCACCACCTAAAACTACTCTTAGATATATTAGAAGAGTTATAGCTTACTTCTTCTGGGGCACTAATAGGGATAAAAAACAGTATCATTGGGCATCATGGGAGAGTTTAGCTTTTCCTTATATAGAGGGTGGTATTGGAGTTAGATTATTAGAAGATATATGCACTGCTTTTCAATACAAACACTGGTGGGAATTTAGAACTAAAAAGACTTTGTGGAGTTGTTTTTTGAAGGCAAAATACTGTCAAAGGTCTAATGTAGTAGCAAAGAAATATGATACAGGGGATTCCTTGGTCTGGAGGTATCTTACCAGAAACAGATATGATGTGGAAAGGTATATTTCATGGAATATAAAGACTGGTAACTGCAGTGTTTGGTGGGATAATTGGCTTGGAGATGGTGCAATAGCAACCTATTGTGACTATATTTCCAGTCTAAATAATACTCAGCTATTAGATTTCATTGAAGATGGAAAGTGGAATAAGTCTGTTATAAGGCAACATATTCCTCCACCTCTTGTTCCAATGATTCTAACTTATAGATTACAACTTAAAGAGGGTATTTCTGATTTAGCTTATTGGAGATTAGAAGATAATGGTCAATTTTCAATTTCATCTGCATGGGAGAGTATAAGGAAGAAAAAAGAACCTGATATAATTAATAATAGTATCTGGCATAGAAATATTCCTTTTAAAATTTCCTTCTTTATGTGGAGAGCTTTGAGGAATAAACTACCTACCAATGATAGTCTGATTAGATTTGGAAAAGAAGAGGAAGACTGTAATTGTTGTTATAGGAAGGGCAAAGATGATTTAAATCATATTCTTATTACTGGTAATTTTGCTAAATATATTTGGAAGTGTCACTCACAAAGAGTGGGATTAGTAATTGACAGTACTTCTATCAGAAGTCTGTTACTTAAATGGAAAAATCTACAAACTAGTAATGAGGTACAAAAACTTCTTTTTATCATTTTACCCAATATTATTTGTTGGAACTTGTGGAAAAACAGGTGTTCAGTTAAGTACGGAGGTAAACAATCAAACATTTCAAGAGTAGAATTAGCTATCTTTAAAGATAGTATGCAGATCATTCAATCTGGTATATCCAACTATACCATGGTTCAACAGTTGGGAGAAGGCTTCTTCAATATGTTGATCAATGTCAACAATATCTTAAAATAACCTTAGTGAGATGGAACAGGCCACCCTCAGGTATCTATAAACTTAATACTGATGGCAGTGCCATCCATAATACAGGTCAAACAGGTGGTGGAGGTATACTTAGAGATGATCAAGGTAAACTTATTTATGCTTTTTCTATTCCTTTGGCTTTTGGTACTAATAATTTTGCAGAAATACAAGCTGCTCTTCATGGATTAAATTGGTGTCAACAACATGGATTCAAGAGGATCATATTGGAAGTAGATTCTGAATTACTGGTCAAATGGATCAACAACACACAGTACATTCCATGGAGAAGTCAACAAGACATTCAGCAGCTTCAAGACATAAGCAAGAACATGGAATATTTTCAGTGCCAACATATTTATAGAGAGGCAAATGCCACGGCTGACTTACTAGCAAAAGGGAGTCACAAGATGGATATAATTCAACATTTTTACACCTCTCAGCAGCTTAGAGGTGCTATTAAAGGAAATTACATATTAGACAAAATGGGCATGCAACTATTTAGAAGAAGGAAGATCAAGAGGATTAAACATCCTCCATGACAATCTTGTATTTGTTCAATCAATTTCATTGGCTTAAAATCTATTTTAAATGTTAATAAAGTAGGTTATCTCTTTTATCATAACTTGTAAAGGGAGAGTCTCCCTTGTTTAAGTTTTTCTAGAACTTAGTAATTTTGAGAGGATTATCTCTAGGTGCTTTGTTTTAGAATACAACAAATGTAATGAGTTAATTGATAACCTTAGTAGGTAATTCAATTAACTCAACTTAGGAAGGAGGTAAGGTTCTATGTCCCCCTCCATGTATCTTTTTCTTATATAAATGTTAAGGCCTGGGGGTGATGCTTAGCCCCTACCCACCTCAAGGGTCGTTAATAAAAAAAAAACCCCAAACCCCAAACCCCTAACCCCAAACCCCAAACCCCAAACCCCAAACCCTAAACCCTAAACCCTAAACCCTAAACCCTAAACCCTAAACCCTAAACCCCAAACCCTAAACCCTAAACCCTAAACCCTAAACCCCAAAACCCTAAACCCTAAACCCTAAACCCTAAACCCTAAACCCTAAACCCTAAACCCTAAACCCTAAACCCTAACCCCTAAACCCTAACCCCTAAACCCTAACCCCTAAACCCTAACCCCTAAACCCTAAACCCTAACCCCTAAACCCTAAACCCTAAACCCTAGACCCTAAACCCTAACCCCTAAACCCTAGACCCTAGACCCTAACCCCTAAACCCTAACCCCTAAACCCTAGACCCTAAACCCTAACCCCTAAACCCTAAACCCTATTGCTTTTCCATTTCTCAAATTTTTTCTCTCTCTAAAAATTTTCTCTCTCTAAAAAATTTTCTCTCTCTAGAAATTTTTCACGATTCCTGGTGTTCATCGCTGTTAATCAAAGAATTTGAGCAGCAAAACGTGTTTTGAATGGTGGATGAACGATTTCGACCTCCAGATCCGCCGATTGGAGTGGAGGAATCGAAAGTTCAATCGAAAAATAATGAAATGGCGGATGGATCATCGTCCTCCTCTTCGCGCTTGAGGGAAGAGGCGATCCAAGTTGCGACTATAGAGGAAGACATGGATGAAATGCGTCGTCATGCTGTAAAGAATCGAAATCTGAGTGGAAAGGGGGGCGAAAGGGTAGAAGAACAGATCGAACTCGGAAAGGTAGATTCGCAGTCGAGAGATATGGAGAAATCGCATTCTCCAAAAGGGTTACTGGATGAAAATCGACAAGAATCAAGTACTGGGGATTTGTCACTTAATCTAGATACTCGTAATCCACAAATTGGGGAAGAAATTGGTGGTCGAAACAGTGAATCTCGCATGGAAGATGACCTGATGAAATCGCAGAGAAATCGTCAAGAACAGGGTAATCGCGAGGTTTATCAACAGGGTAATTCTTCGAGTCAATCACAACAACATAGCTCTGAATTGAACATTAACGCAGACAGGTATCAACAAAATCAACAATTAGCAAACATAGCTACAAGAAATTCAGGTGAGATAGATAATGGTCGTCAATTGCGAAGTAGCGATATTACTTTGAATACACAGAATATGAATCAAGGTAACATTAGTCTTCCCAATATTACTCTTAATCCTGTTACTAATTTGCAAAAAATAGACAGAATGAATAGGGAGTCTACCAGGCAACACAATTATCAAACTAACTTTCCCAAGATTTCTACCAATTTTGATAACCCTGTTCATCGAAATTTAGTTGATAGAAGTGATTTTCCATCAGGACATAGTGATAAATTTCCCAAGAAAGATCAAATTAAAGAGCCTGCATCCTACACTGTGGTTCAGACTTATGCTGATAGATTGAGGTTTAATCAGTCTAGGAAAGGGGTGAGTATCAACTTGAGTGAGCCTGAGATCACTACTAAACAAGGATTGCCAGCAGTTTTGTATGTGAAAGATGAAGTATTAAAAGATTTGGCATCTACCTGTAAATTCACCTTGATAGGAAAATTCATATATACTATGCCTAGATTGGAACTCATTAGGAAAAATTTTATAAACTCAGCTGTCTGGGGGGGTTAAAATTGCTCATTTCAATTCTAGACATGTGTATATTGATCTTGATAATGAGTTGGATTACAATATGGTTTGGACAAAGCAACGTATGACAATTGCTGGACAAGTCATGAGAATCCAAGCTTGGACTCCAACATTTACACCTGATGAAGAAACCCCTCTTGTTCCTATATGGATATCACTACCAGAATTACCTTGGCATTGCTACAACAAGGAATTCATAACTAGCCTCTTATCACTCATTGGGAGAGTCTTATACTTGGATTCTGCATCCATTAACAAAACTAGAGGCAGTCAAGCAAGAGTGAAAGTACAAGTGGACTTAACCAAGGATAGGCCATCCCATATTTGGATGGGATATATAGGAGAGGACATAACTGATGGTGGATGGCAAAAAATAGATTATGATAGCATACCTAATTACTGTTTTTATTGTAAGCATCAAGGGCATAAGGAATCTGATTGCATTGTCAAGCAAAGGGATGCTGAGAATACAAGGAAAAAAGAGTTGGAAAGAAACAAAGACAGACAGGGTAATATTTACAATAGCAATGAAGTATCACAATCTTTCCAGGTTATGGAACCAGGTATAAGGGAGAAAGTTCATATCCAACAAACACAATCAACACATGATAATCAACAACAGTTGGTACAAGATGAATGGCACACACAAAGGAGGAAAAATCCAAATCAACAAGTCAGATTTAATGTAGACAGGGTGGCTGCTCAACAAACACCAGCTCAGACAGGTAATGTTTCTATACCTACTAAGAACACTTATATTAATTTGGAACTGCAGGAACTCACAACTGATGAAGAAGAAGTGGAGGAACAGATAAAGCAAACTCATGAGAATAAGTCACACAATGTTGATCATCTCAACAAGAGTCAGTCTTACAACATTGGAGAACATAGTGATCAAAGGAATAAACAACAAAGAAGAGATGTTCAGGTACAAAGGAAGGATCAAACTGGTTACCAACAGGAAAAAATAACCAGCCCAGGTATTGACTCAAGGATCCATTCCCCTGCACCCCTTACTATTACTATTGGTTCTGATACTACTGGTGTAGCTGTTGGAGGTGTGGAAGGTGAATGTCAGGAGACACATAGATTAATTCAGTCTAGACTTGATAAAGGAAAAGGTAAAATTGATGAACTGGGATCATTGAATGATAAAGTACCCCCTGATAAAATCAATATTAATGATCCATCTCAACATCATAATAAGAATGTTGATAACATTGGTAATATTCCTAATATTCATCATAGAGATACTCTTAATGAGTATAAAGAACCTGATTCTGAGGAAGAGTATGATTCTGATACTCAATTCTTAAGGGAAGGTAGGGAGCCAAGGGAAGACATAGGTTCCTCTCATCAAATTCACAAAAGAACCCTGTTAAACACCTCTAATGTTGATGAAATTAGAGATGTTACAGCTAAACAAGGGCTCTCTCCAAGAGGTAGAAAATTACTTAAATCTAATCAAAATACTAGCATGAATAAACCTAACACTAGAGCTAGAAGTAGAGGATTTTGATGATTAAGATGCTATGTTGGAATGTTAGGAGCATCACTACTTTTGGTGCTCTTGAAAGATTGATTAATTTGAGGAGGCTTCATAATCTTTCTATGTTGGCTGTTTTAGAACCTTTTTCAAATCAATCTCAAATAGATTATTTTAGAATGCAATTACTAATGAATCATAGCTACAGTAATATCAATAATAAAATTTGGCTTTTTTGGTCTAATGAAGTTACTTGTAATATATTGGATAGTGATCAACAACAGGTGACTTGTGAGGTTAGTCATGTTAATTGTAGTGACAAATTCCTTATGACTTATGTTTATGCTAAGTGTAAGGATCATTTGAGGAAACCTCTTTGGGATGTTATGTTAAGATGGTCTGTAACTTCTTACCCTTGGTGTCTCATAGGAGATTTCAATGTGATAACCTCAGTCAATGAGAAATTGGGAGGTAGAGATTATAATATCAAAAAGAGTCTGGAATTTATTAGCATTATTGAGGCTTGTGGTTTAGTGGATATGGGATATCATGGTCAAAACTATACTTGGTGCAACCATAGGAAGGATGGTGCAAGAATCTGGAAAAGATTGGACAGGGGTATGACAAATGACAAATGGATTGAAACAATGCCTCATTCTAGCATTACTCATCTTCCATCTATAGGATCAGATCACAGTCCTTTATTGTTGGAAATTAGTAATGCACAGTCTAATATTACCAAATATTTTAAATTTTTGAATTGTTGGACTGAGAATGTTTCATTCTTATCTATTGTGGAAGATTGCTGGAAAAGAGCTGTGAGTGGTAATCCTATGTTGAGTTTTCATACAAAGATGAAGAGGTTAACTAGAACATTAAGAGAATGGTCAAAACATGAGTATGGGGATATATTTGATAAAGTGAAGAAGTATGAGGAATTGGTAAAGGAGGCTGAAAATAATCTGGTTATAAATAATAGTACTGCAAATAGGGAGAGATTGAAAGCTGTCAATGCTAATTACATTAAGTATTTGAAGCTTGAACATAATATTCTTCAGCAGAAAACTCAAATGCATTGGCTAAAGGAGGGGGATGCAAATACCAAATATTTTCATGCTGTGATTAGAGGTAAAAGAAATAGAATGGCTATACACAAAATGATGGAAGATAGTGGAGCTTGGATCCAAGGGGAAGACAATATTGCTAAAATGGCTTGTGATTATTATGAGGAGATTTTTAATGGAAGTTCTGATAAGATTAATGAAGAGTATCTCCAGTGTCTTAATAAAGGTATCACTCATGAACAAAATGAATTATTAGACAGATTACCTGATGAGGATGAATTGAAAAGGATCATTATGAGTATGAATCCTAATTCAGCCCCTGGTCCTGATGGTTTTGGTGGAAGATTCTTTCAAGTATGCTTTGATATTATTAAAGAAGATCTTTTGGCTGCTGTTAGATATTTTTTTAGTGGTAATAT